CCGCGCCGCGGGGGGGCCGGGGGGAGCCGTGCCGCGCCGCGGGGGGCCGGGGGAGCCGAGCCGCGGGGGGCCGGGGGACCCAAGCCGCGCCGCGGGGGGGACGGGGATACCTGAGCCGCGCCGTGGGGGCTGCGCGGGGGGGGGGGAATCCGAGAGGCGGGGGCCGGGCTGGAGCCAAGCCGGGCCAGAGCCGCTGGGGCCTGCGGAACGGGCCGCGCCTCCCCGGAGCCCTTCTCCCGCCCCCACCCCAGCTTACCTCGTGCTGCCGGCCAGCCCGCCCCTGCTTAGTCTCAGACTTCCCGCGAATCTCTGATTCGCGGGAAGCAGGGGAGGGGGCGGGGTGTGCAGGGGGAGGGGAGGAGGGGGAAGTGAGCTGGGGGCGGGGCGGACAGCTGCAGCGCGGGGCCCTCTTGGCGCGGGGCCCAATTCAGCCGAATTGGCTGAATCGGCCTAAAGCCAGCCCTGGCTGACATCACTAAAGAGCTGAAGTTACTGAGAGCTGTGTTAAGCGGGGATGGGCCTGAAGACATGTTGGTGAGTGGCTAGTAGGATGGCTGGTGGAGAGGTGCGGCTGGTGGTAAAGACTGCAGCAGAACTCCACAGAGAGGCATGGCAATTGGCCGTTGACCGGAGCAGTGGAGCATGTAAGGTGCCCGTTTACCTCCCCAGCCTTTCCACTCAAGCTGGAAGGTAAGCTCTGCAGATGAACTTCTGAACTCTGGGGCTGCACTGACCAAGGGCAGAAACTGTGGGTGGGGTAACTGTTGGGTTGCTGGACTTAAGACCCTGATGGGAAAAGGACACTGCCAAACTTACTTGGAGGTGGGTCTTTTGCTCTTGGTTTGTGTTATGCATCCTGTTTGTGGGGTTTCCCTCGTTTATTAAAAGGCTTTTGCTGCACTCAGACTCTGTGCTTGCGAGGAGAAATATTGCCTCTTAGAGGTGCCCCGGGGGGTGGTATGTAATTGTCCCAGGTCACTGGGTGGGTGCTTGAGCCGGTTTTGCATTGTGTTATTGAAAAGGAACCCCTAGATACTGAACCCGGCCCTGGTTGCTGCTAACTCTGATGGGCAGAAGGGTTACAGTAATAAAAAAATATATAAAGTGAACACTGTATACTTTGTATTGTGTTGTAATTGAAATCAATATATTTGAAAATGTAGAAACATCCAAAAAGATTTAATAAATTTCAATTGATATTCTATTAACAGTGCAATTAACTGTGATTAATCACGATTAATTTTTTGAGTTAATTGTGTGAGTGAACTGATTAATCAACAGCCCTAATATATATTTAATTGGCTATTTATTAGCTGTGGAGGTGAATTCTATAATCTGTCACAAGATCAGCGAGAGTTCAGATTCTGCATTTGAGTGTAACAGCAAGGAAGTGGATATCTGCATTATTGCTAGCTCTATGCTGATCTGTGTATCCTGCATTTTCAAGGCTCTGCCTTCTTCTGAGTTTGCTTTAGGAACCACTGTCAGCCTTCTCCTATCCTCGTTCCCTTCACCTCCAACCAACTGTACTGAAGCCAGGTCAGCCCCCTTCTTCCCTTGGCAGTTCCCCTCTAGTAGGTGTTTGTTTTCTGCATTTGCAGGTAGAATGGTGCTCACTGCTAACACCCTTTCAGATGTCTGGGTAAGGGAGTTGGTCCACAACCGATAATCAGAATTCCTAGGGAGTCATATCTCAGCCTTCCAGAAGAATGAAGGACAGTGTCTGGAACATAAACTACTGCCCTGCCTCACAGGCAGGTTGTGAAGATTATAAACATTAAAGGTAGAGAGATGTTCAAATACTATAGTAATGGGGGACTTGTAAATTCATAGAACACCAGATTTACTATATAAAACTTTACAGTTAACCAAAGGGAACCCCTTGACCTTGCCACTACAGTTCAAAGCTTCCTGACAGAAGCCAGATATGCTGGACACTATGGAATGTCCCTTATAAAACCTCTGGAAATTAAGACGCTAGACAACAACGTTAAATCTCATAGGGCATGTGAAAGCCTAGGCCCAGACAGATTTTAGGTGGATTGCTACAAAACCTGACTCAAAACAGCACAGCAGTGCTACAGGCCAACAGTTTTCTGCTATTGCTCTCCTCTTCAATGAGGATTCAGGTGACACCATTTGCTCATGTGAGGCCACCCCAGAGGTGGAACAATGGATGCAAAATTCACGTCCTGATCATGATGTCAAACAAATTTGTTGCCATGACAGCTGTTGTTGGCCCACCAAACTGCTCTCCTGCACCCAAGGCTGACGAGAGCGGACTCTAGTCCTGGGGGCCTGAGGTCAGTTCACCCACTAATGTCTGCGTAAATGGGGTGAAACGGGAGGTGGTGGGGCCCAGTGAACATGATGTACTAATTTCTCTCATCAGACCTGCCCAGCCCACCCCTGCAGAGTGTGGGGCCCATCCCCGCCCTGGCGTCACTGGGCACTAAAGCAAAGGTGCTGGTTTAGCTCTGCTGTGAGTGGCTGGTGCTGGGGGCGCAGATGTGTCCCAGGACCCTGGGCAGGGGCTGCTGTGGGGGCGCCGCCTTTGAAGCCACATTGCGGGGGGGTGACGTCACCCCGGGGGAAGTGCAGGGCATTGCTGCCCCCTCCAGCTCATGGCCAGCAGGCAGTGCGGTCTCCCCGCATGGTGACCATAGCGACCCCTGAGGGGATGCTGAGGTCGGGGGAGCGGGGCTGCCTACGTCACTCAGGAGCTGGGTGCAGCCCTGAAGCCGGCCGTACACCCCCCCGCCCGCTTCCCTGCCCCTATCCAAAATGGCCGCCTCCAGCCTCAGGCGCTGGCAGGGCTCCGCACTTCCGCCCGCAGCCTCAACTTCGCCCTGTGCCTCCGCCACCCTACCCCGGCCCAAGATGGCCGCTGCCGCTCTGCCTGTCCGGGAGGCGTTCCTGCCGCCGGCGGAGTGACTCTATGGTGCGGCGCGGGGCCGGAAGCCGGAGAGGCGGGCGGCGGCTCTGTGGGGAGAGGTGGCGGCTGTCGGCGGGGCTGAGGCCGGCGTGGAAACTCGAGCCCCGACCCCTCCCCCAGCGGAGCGGGCAAGGCAGGTGAGGGGGGCTCCGTGTCCCCTCCCACCACGGGGCCAGTGGGGCCGGGGAGGGGGGCCGTTGGTGGCAGGGGGTAATGGGGGCAGGGATAGGGAGTGGGTGAATGGGGGCGTTATTGATGAGGCAGGCAGAGGGTAATGGGGAGTGGAAATGGTGGGGGGGAGGGGCAGGTGGGGGTAATGGGGGCAGGGTTAAGGAGGGGTAATGTGGGGGAGAGGCAGGGGTTATCGGTGGGGCAGGTGGGGGTAATGGGGGCAGGGTTAAGGAGGGGTAATGTGGGGGAGAGGCAGGGGTTATCGGTGGGGCAGGTGGGGGTAATGGGGGCAGGGTTAAGGAGGGGTAATGTGGGGGAGAGGCAGGGGTTATCGGTGGGAGAGGTAGCGGGTGTGTGATAGGAGGTAGATCCTTTCCTCGCTCAGGGCTAGGGTTCTGCCTGGCAGCTCACCGGCTGGCTGCCCCCAGAGGTCACTAATCTCTCCCTGGGCTATCCCAGTGGCAGCTTGCCAGGGCCCACGAGTCTATCAGGTGACTTTGGGGCACAGGGTGGGATATTGTCCCATGTCCCTGTGATGGCACCGAGGCAAGATCACGGGAGCCAGGTGCACTGACCTCCTTCCCAAGGGCACCTGCTGGGTCTGAGCAACTTTGTCAGGAGATCTCAATGGATGTTTATTTCTTGTCATGGGGTTTCAATGGGTGTTTATTTCTAATGCAAATATGACATTGCAGTTCAGTCACCCTGTGGGAGTTTTGTGCTTTGTGGGGACAAATATGCTTGGGCTGTGATACAACTCCCCTTGACTTCACCAGGCCGCTGGATGACTAAAGTTATTTATAACTTGGCAGCACAGATATTTGATCCCCTGGTACCAAAAATCCAGTCTGGGGAACAATACTTCCCCGGTATACATTCACTCGGTACCCTGGAATTGTTATGGGTGACTTGTCAATAAATAATTTGTAATTTGAAACTGGGTAAGGGGCAGACCGGATGCTTTCAAAGTACCTTTCATAACTTTAAAACATATCTTTTCCAATCCCCAACCTCCAAAGTTTCATCTGTCCTCAAGGAAGGCTGAAATGGAAATTTCCTTTCTTGCCAAAAGATGCCATTTTCCATTGTTCACATACTATATTTGGTTGTAAGATTGTTCATGAGCTGTCTGTGCAAACTGCAGGATGGCAAGTATCAGGGGGTAGCCGTGTTAGTCTGTATCTACAAAAACAACAAGGAGTCTGGTGGCACCTTAAAGACTAACAAATTTATTTGGGCATAAGCTTTTGTGGGTAACAACCTCACTTCTTCAGATGCAGGATGGCCGTTTGACCCATGCAGTGAGTGATAAGTTTAGAAATTCACTCTGTGCACTACACCCAAAAGAGGCACTGGGATGATTGCTGTTGGGAAACACTGCACTAGCCTGGGCAGGGCATCAGACTAGTTTAAGAAGTTGCAGGGTGGAGGACGGGATGAATGGAAAGCTGCATAATGTTGGATGAGTGGAGATAAAGTTGCATGACGCCTTACTCATCTGCTCCCAAGGCAGCACTGAATGCATCTTTGATTGTGGTGGTAGTTCATATGTAGAGGGCTACAGACTCAGGCAGCAGCCTACTCTTTACTTGGCTCCACCACAAGAGGGCATGATGCCCACCTCCATGGATCTACAAATCAACCTTCAATCCCAAGGATTATACAGCCTTCTGGTGAAAAGGGAAAGGCGGGAAGCAAGCAGGGAATAGGGAGCGAGAAAAGGGGAAAGAAGGTGAGGAGGAAAAAAGATGGAAAAGAGCCAGAATGAGTGAATGGGCAGAGGAAAATGGAGAGGTTGTAGTTGTGCCAGGATATGATATGGGTAAAGCAGTGTGAACGGGCACCGAATCCATCAAAGGGGGATGGGGACCGTCACCAGAAAAAGGTTGGTTAGCTTCTGTTTCAGTATCTCTATCTTGGGGTGCGAGAGAATGTTCCATGGGGCAATTATATGTTTGGAATTCCTTGCATGAAAGGTGATGACATTCTATGTCACTATTTCTGGTTTGAATTGATTTGTTGAAGATGGTCGTCTCTTTCTATGGTAAACTGATCGGTGAAACCAAGATATGAAATATCCTGTTTTTTCCACTCATTCATCCCCTACTATGCTTAGTCTCAAAAGTGCTTTTTGCTTAGATGAAGGGAGGTGATCTTTACACATATGACTTTTTTCCTAAAACTCCATGCCAAGCATTTTTGTCTAAGACCATGAAGTGAGCTTGGTGTTTAGTCAGGTGAGAGAAGAGCTCTCCTGACTCTGGTGGCAGTGACATGAAGCACATGCAGCCTGTTGTATCACCTGCCAGGAGACAATTGGCTGGAGGGACATGTAATAAAATGAGATCTGTCCAAAAGCAAGAATTTCAAGAAGCTGGATTCACTGGGCAATCCCCTTCTACCACAAAGGTAGAAAGTTAAGGGTACTCAAAGTGGTTCTGGCTTTGCAGCTAAAGGATGAACACACAGCTTGCTAGCTGCAGGTTTTTAGTTATGAAGGACTCAAACAAAAAAGAAATGTCTTTAGTGCTTGTAAAAGATGCTCCTTTGACAGTCCTGGAGAAAGAAATGTGTTTATCTGCCTCTTTTGTGTTGAAGTGTGGGGTATTATCAGCATGAATTTGAAATGTCTGCATTACTCTTAAATGGCAAAGCCACACATGACTTACACAGGTTATCTTAAATTTGTGCCGTGTGGGGAGCATAGACTTTTTGTGGAGAATTGGTCAGCCGTTAGGATGATCAGCTGGTATCCACCACCCCATGATCTCCAAGGTGGTTCTGAAACCGACATTGCTTATTGAAAGAAATAATCAATATGTAATCAACTGTCCTTCAAAAGGTAACTGTTTTTGTTCAGGCACCAGTTACAAGAGGACTATAGAGCAGTTGTGTGGACCACCAGTAGCTGGGCCACAGAGATGCCTCTTGTATTTATCCCTCAGGTCCAGAATCTTGATGTCTTTGAGGATAAAAAAATCCAAACCACACAGATTTCCAATTGTATCTATTTTATTAACTAAGGCCTAGATATTTTTGCCCCCTTAACATGTTAATGCCTAACTGATTTAGGAGCCTAAGTCTCACTTTCAAAAGTGACCTTAGCCACTAAATCTCTTCGTATCCTAAGTGCTTAAGTTACTTTTGAAAATGAGACTTAGGTTCCTACGTCAGTTAGGTGTTGAAACGCTGAATGGAGCAATGACTAAATACCTTTTAAAAAAATCTAGGCCCAACTACTTAAGCAAAAACATAAAATAAAGTAGATATAAGCAAATTCAATTTGAACAAAGTGGGTTAATATAAAATCAGTCAGGGTAATAAAATCAAGTCATTATCAGATTGAATAAACTGTTTCAAATAAATCAACAATTTTTGATAAGCTCTCTGTAATGATTTGATATGGTAGCAGTCTTGTTTAGCTATCAGATCCCAAAGTAATAGGGCCATTGTCAATCTGGATGCCAAGTGATTCAGGTGATCCAGGGAGGGACATATCACTCCCAAGTTGAAGCTAATGTTGAGACTGGCAGCTCCGATGACAATTAAGACAGTGTGCTCAAATTATTTGTGGTTAGGTAATAGAAATCTGTCCATTCCCCCGCCCCCAATAAAGGGTTACATGAAACATTCCAACACAATTCAAGATGACCACAGCTTGTTACCTGTTAATGTTCAAATGTCAAATTTAGGTAAAAACATAATTTCTCAGGATTAAACCTACAAGTCTGGACCCATGAAATGTGTGCAAGAGATCTTTTAGACAGTGAGGTTGTTTAACTGAGGACTGTTTAGGTATTTGAGGAGCTATTCTATAGGCACCATTCTTGAATTCTATGGACTCAGTCCCCACGCTCTCCTGTGCATGCGCACGTACACACTACCAGCCATCTGCTGAAGGTAACAAGTGTCCTCAATTACTTGAGTCCCCCATTAAAAGAAGTACTTTCCTGTTTGAAAGTGAATTTTTCTGTTTCTAGTAGAAAGTGTTTCACTCTCTTTAATGTCAGATATAAGCATGGTCTGAAATTTGCCCCCTTTCTGCATATAAAGTGACCTTTCAGTCCATCTCCTTCATGCCATCCTGCATCCATTTAGTTGCTACAAGCTGGTAGGCTGTGTGTCAGAGAAGAGAGATAAGAAGCTGTACTACATTCCAGTTTTCAAAGAGACACGAACAGTTCAGTCCCCACATTTGACCTTTATTAAAATAGATACATCCTACTGGGAAGCATATGCAGGATTCTATCTGTTAATTATAGAACAGCCATCTCTCCATTGCTGTCCAGGCATAAAAAGATGATAGTGTTTATGTAAGATTTGTATAAAATCAATACCCCACTATTGTGGGTGCCCCTTGCTGGGCTTCTAGTTTCGGATGACACACTTTCATATCTAGCTACATCTGTTTAAAAAAAAAAAAAATTCATTCCCAAAGTTCACACTGACTATATGGATTGCTCAACTGGTTTATTGCATAATTAATAAGAATTTATCCATTTAATATGAAACATTTAGACTGTAATGCACCATATTTTTCAAGGCGACCAGTTAGATAACTAATTTTTAATTAAGGCAATAAGTGAGAAGAAAACCAAGAACCTATAACCGAAAAATCTCCCAAAACATATCCAGACTAATAGAGAGAAGTCAGAATGGAAGCTTTGCCTTATAAAAATCAGACCAAGAGGTCAAGAAGTGTGTTATATTGCTTTCAGCAATAGTCTGTGCCTCATGCTTCAGAGGAAGGCGAAAACTACCATAATGCAATCATCCAGCTGTGCAAAATAATATACATGGGGTGGGGCAAGAATTCCTTTCTGATCCCCACAGTGCCGAGCAGATGCCCTTGAAGATGAGACATGATTTCCCTTCCCTTAGCCTGCATTTCTACATATTTTAGTTTTTGATAATTTAAGAGAGGCCAAAGTTTTGGGTATATCATGGAGAAAGGTTTGCTCATAGCCTGAGGTAGCCTGCCAGCACAACACTGACTATAGAGCACAGGCCTATCCTACCAATGCTTTTAAAAGGGCTTCTGCCCCCAGAAGAATATTGCGTGTGTTCCACTGTTATCTTCTGGAGCTGGTTCACAAGCAAGGAAGTAAAACAACAATTCTGGTTAACTTTATCTCCACTATAAATATGGTGGTGGTGGGAGGGGGGTTAGGTTTGCCTGCCTGCCAACATTAGCCAGATGGAGAGAAGGCAGTCGGGAGGAAAATACATTCAGTTCTAAGGCGTGTCAGAGCAAGCTACAAATACAAAAAGATGCAAATGGTGGTGGTGGTGGTAGAAACTAAAAGTTGTGTCCAATCAATCCTTCAGTGCTGGTGTCTCCTGTGACCGCCGTTCTAGCAACACTTCGTGATGATGCACCTGCTACAGCTGAGCAGCAGTGGAGGTGAATTTTGCTTGATATACCAAGTATATAAGGCAACACTAAAGAGATTAAGGAACTCCTTCATTTGTCAGTACTGCACCAGCAGGGTGGTGTAGCAGACCTTTCTAATTCCATTTAATTTTCATTGTAGCTTTACCTAATGAAATATTTAGATCTAGGGAGATAGTTGGCTCAGGGGATTTGGTGATGGAAAGAGGAGCCCCTCACCTTGAGATTCCTGATTTGTTTTGTTTTGTTTTTTTTTTAAATCAGGTTTAGATCAGTGGGGACCAAAAGTCATGACTGTCAGATGACTTAAAGCTATGTCAGTTGTTGCCTTTGGTGAAGATCCAATAGGCAGTTAGTCACATGACAGATCACCATCACCAGGGGGCCACCTTTTGGCAGAGACTCCAAAGATTAAATGGAAACTGAATTACCCTGTAGGGTGATATTGAGACATAGGCCTTGTCTACACTACTGGGGTAAGTCGACTTAAGTTACACTACTCTAGCTACGTGAATAACATAGCTGGAGTCAACATAGCTTAGGTCATCTTACTGCGGTGTCTCCGCCGCACTGTGTTGATGGGAGACACTCTCCCATCAATTTACCTTAATCTTCTCATTCTGGTGGAGTATCAGAGTTGACCAAAGAGTGCTCTGCATTTGATTTAGCAGGTCTTCGCTAGATCGCTAAATCGACCCCCACTGCATCGATCGCAGCAGCATCAATGCTTGGTAAGTGTAGATATTGCCATATTTGCAGCATCTTGTGGTATAGCTTGCACTGAGCTGTTTGTGCTTTACCTGTTCCACAGCTAAAGTCTCTTATCTCTAGAGCTGTCCAAGCCCTTTATTACCTTTACAACAGAAATGACTGAGTTTTAGATTTTTATCTACTGAAACTCCAGGGAGAGAACTGTTGACTCAAGTACATCAACAAGATGAGTTTTTTTCTGATGTTTTGTTTCACACTTTTCAGAAAATGTTCTGAAGAATAAATTGGACGGTGCCAGTTGGAATTAAATTGTCTGAAAAAACCTCTGTTCACCCTAAGGCCTATTTGACACCGAGAGAGCTTCCACAACGGCCTAATTCTGCAAGTGATGGGCTCGGAGAACAGTGCTTTAAAGAGCTACACACTGGAAGAGCCGCCGTATACCTTACCAACTGGACTCACAATTTACCCAGCTGTACTGCAAGATGGCAAGCTTGCCTCGGTCTTTGTGTATAAAACAGAGAATGAAGACACAGTTAATAAAGCTGCCAAGGTAGAGAACATGGCCTTGCTGATTAACAGGCTTCTTTCTAATTCTCTCTGCCTTTTCTAGTATCAAAGTCAAGCTATCAGTTCCTGTACATGAATGTCCTCAAAGCCCCTTGGGAGGGAGGAGGAAGAAACAGGTTAATTCAGAATACATTTGAAGGGTAATGATCCCTTCTAGCAGATCTCCTTAATTACAGGGACACTCTCACAGCTCCCAAATACAAGTTTTGTTTTATTTTTTTATAAGATTTTGATATGACAAGAAACATTCTACAGTGTGATCAAAATAAGAGCAGTGTGTGGTGGTAGGCATTCTGGTAGGGAGTGGGATTGGAATTTATAATTCCCTCCAGAAAACTCACTTAAAAGGACATTAAGGCTGTGTGGTTAAGCACTTTCATGTGAGGAGATGCCAAAGTGATGAATCCCCACTAAACCCCCTGCCTATAAAGGATGTGGGATATATACCAACTTGTTTCCTCCTTGTCATTTTTGAAGCACCTGAAAACCTTGCGCCACCCTTGCCTTTTGCGCTTCCTCTCTTGTACCGTGGAAACAGATGGGATTCACCTGGTTACAGAGCGTGTAAAGCCTTTGGAGATGGCGCTGGAGATGCTGTCCTCAGATGAGATCTGTGCAGGGATCTATGACTTATTGCTAGCTCTTATCTTCCTTCATGACAGGGTAAGTTCTCAACAGAAACAGGTGTGAATGTGTAAGGTTTGGGCTCCCAGCAGGAACAGGTTTATGTGAGCAGAGGGAAGGCTTTATCAGTGGGCTTACATGGATGATTGTGAGGTATTGGACCTTAAAATCTTACGTTTCTTGTTCCCTGCCTGCTTTTTATTTCACTTCACTTGTGACATGGCATTAGCAGCTATCTCAGACTGATAGAGAATAGTGCTTTATACCATCTGGCAGCTGGTGTTCCAGACTGCTTTTAGGCGCTACAAAGAATTCTCACTAGCTGTTTTTGAGGCAATGAATAATGATAAAATGTATCTGAAGAGCCAGAACAGGGAAGATAATTATGAAAATGTCATGACTTTATGGCCTGAGATCGCATGACTTGTCAGAGCTTTGAACAAATGCTGCTGGAAAACGGATTCTCAGCATAACATATTTGTTTATCATCCTGGTGGTACATAAGATATCAGACTTTGTCCCTAGGTCTAGCAGTGCTTTTTAGGCATGTGTTCAGGATTGAATTAGCAAATCCCAGATCTGAAGCCAGTGTAACTTTTAAGTCTTTGTGCTCAGATATGGAGGGCCTCTTGTAACTTGCAATTAGAGTAAAAGGACTGTGATAGTTAAACTTGGCCTCCTTTAAAGCCTCAGTCCTTGTGAAAGGTGCCGTTTGGCCTACAAAAACCATTAAGGAACCTGCAGTATAAATGCTGATCTGTGTATTTTTCAACAGCTTTTTCTCAGATCATCAGGGCACCTAATTAGTGCTAACAAGGATTTAATGCCTTAATCGATCCCCAGGTCTTTTGTTTATTTTATATTTTAGGGAAACCTAACGCATAACAACATTTGTTTATCATCTGTATTTGTAAGTGAGGATGGGCACTGGAAACTAGGAGGAATGGAAACAGTCTGCAACCTTAATGAAGCCACCCCAGAGGTAAGAGCCAAACAACCCACTCACAATGCTTGGAACAAGGGTTTCTGGCTTGTTGGGGATCCATCATTAGAAAGCTTTGCTCAAATTTAAAGTGTATCCAATTGCCTAAATTGAAAATTAATATTAAAAGTGTATCAGCCTGCTTCCCAGATCCGTGGCCTGAATGCTTGCTCTAAGGACACAGTTACCATAAATGACCATGTGTGGATAAAGTCAACTAGTCATTCAAGGGGACTAGAAGTGGCTGCAAGGAGGTGTTAGGGTTGGGGAGAGGGAAGGTGGGAACAAGCTTGAAGTCTGTCCTCTTTACTACTGCTGCTACTGGTTAGTAAAAGAGTTTGCTTTCTTTCCCTGAAGCAGAAAAGCTGAATCCAGATTAAAACAGGTTAACATCCTCCCTCATTTAAAGGGCACTTTGGTTCTCCTGCTGGCATCTCTGTTGGACATTAGGGAGGAAAATGTCTGTCTTGAACTCAGCTGCATCCTGTGCAGAGTCAATGCTGCAGTGAGACACTACTCAAATACATTCTGGCTTTCATTCCAAAGGATCCCCAAATTCTTCATAAACTGTATCCACATAGCATCGCTAGCAGTTTTACCACCTCCTGGAGAGGGACAGTTGGCCAGGCAATTGGCACCTTGCGTGATGCACAACATTACAAGAGGTGAAATTTTGACCAAGAGCATTGGAGTAAAATCCCACTATTATTAAAGATCCAGAGGTCCAGGTACAGCATATAGGGATATGATTTTAAGACTGAGGGCAGAATTGACTCTAGTAAGATTCAGCAACTGCAGGGCATCTCGGTGTTTTACCCTTGATGCTTAGACCCCAGAGCTATCCCTCCAGGTTGGTAAGGTAATGAGGCATATCTTATACTGAATGTGAAAGGGGGGAACCCACTGTTGTGCATTCAGCCAGTCTTGACTGGCCATGGAGAGAGAGAGGAGCAGCGAGAGAGGGAGAAAAGGGCAAAAAAAGCTGGGTTTCATCCACTGCTGCTTGGTGCCAACTCACCAAGCGATAAATGATTAGCTCAAAACATTTAACATGAAGTTTTCCTTTCCTCTTTCTAGTTCCTGTGTGGTATCAAGTCAGTGAGAGACAAGGCAGCCATCCCTCCTGAAGAGAGGGTGAGTAGCATTGCTGTACTCCGGGTTGATCAGAAGTTAATCTGTTTTTTGCTGCAGGATTTTTTGGTTTTCGATATTGAAGCGAAAAAAGCACAGAAAGCAGTTTCAGCCCATATATATCTATAAATGGTGTATTTCTTTAGATTTATATAAAATAAAACATGCTTAGATGTGGAGGGATATGTCCATCTAGATAACTTCAGAATTGTGTTGTACTGTCCATAACTTGTATATTGTGAAAGGGGAAGATGACTCAGCGGAATAAGTTAATGACAGAGCAACAGCCCTAACAGCGAATACTTTTTTACATTTGTGTCCCAGCCGTAATATTTACAACGACCGTGCCCAAAATTTTTCCACCCGAACACTTGCAATTTTTCATATACGCTTACATAATTAATTTTTAAAATAGTGAAATGACAGTATTTGCTTCTATCTGTCTCTTGATAAATAAATACAAAAATACTTTCCCCAACAATAAATATCCACAGTTGAGGAGCTATGCAGTTACAGAGGAGGGCGGTTGTCGGATGAACAAATGCTCAGAGATCTGCCAGAGATTCTTTTGTTTTGATGCTCCTTTTTTTTAAAAAAAACTCTTCTTTATCGGGATGGATCTACATGGAATGTGATAGAACATGTCTTTATTTTATAGCTCCAGAACTAGTTCATATCTCCAAGGAAGATCCCAAGTTAGGCATAATTTTCCATTTTCAAAAAAGCATTCTGTACTCTTGCTAGGTACTGGTTCTGTTTCTCTTATGAAGTCTTAAAGTAAATGGCCTGCTATATTATTTACTATTTCTGTTAAATTGCCAGAGGACCACACAGCTAAATAGCCATAAAAAGACTGGCCAATAATCTTCTAGAACCAACGTTGGCCAAATAAGACTTTGGTATTTTTAATTATTCTAAAGCTGAGCAAATTTTTTTGCACTAAGTTTTATAAGATAAAATTGGGCAGAAGAACAGGCCAGTTCAAGTATTTAAAAGGTTGCTTGGCATGTATAGAAACTGATTATTGAACACCACTTGTGGCCATTTGAAGGTTGTGGTTGTTTATGTAAATGTTATACTCCCAAGAGCAATCCAGTTACATGTATTCTAAGAATTTAGAAAGTGCCAGTTCTGAAACTGAAGCCAATTTTTGTGCTATGCAGAAAGTCAAACTTGAAGAAGCTGGTAAGCTGCACTCAGAAAAGAAAGTCGTCATCATCTTGAACCTTTGTATTTTAAAACTCACCAATTTCGTTCTGTAAAACTTGGTGCAAACAATATGCTCATCTTTAAACTATAAAGAACCTAAAGCTTCATTCCGCTAACATTTGCTGTGAGAAGTTGTTGATCCTTTTAAAGCTACATAGTTTTGTGTCGCTGTTGCATTTAATGTCCACGTGTTTCCCTTATTAACCAACTGTCATGTCTATAGTGTAATGCAGACTGCTTACAGACTAGAAGAGAGTGAATTCTCTCCCTGGTTCACATTGGTTTCCACAGAAATGTAGAAAGCTTCTGGCTTACAGTTGCTGGATGAACTCATGGGGCGCTGTTTAACTGTGGTGTTCTTGTTTGTGTGTCTAGGCTGTAAGTTTTTTAAGGCTCTAGAGAGGCTTTTGAGTTTTGCATAATATTCCACTTGTAATGCACTGAGTGGAGTAATGGTACTATACAAAGAATCAGAGGGTGTAAGGATAGAGTAGGGACTCATGGAGACTGTATAGCAGGCTCCTGCTTTATGATTATTTTTTCAGTCTGCAGATTTCAAAATTCTTCCTGAGAGCCACGGACATGCCCGGGATGCCTATTCATTTGGAACAATGGTTGAAAATCTGCTGACATTCTTAAATGATCAGGGTGAGAGTCCTCAAAGACAAGGAATAAAATTACTTTATTTTGCTACCTCCCATGCATGAATGACCCAAAGTATTCATTTTCCAATAGGAAAGAGTCTCTCAGAAGAAGCATGACGAAACTTTTATTGCAGAGAAGTGATTGTCCATTTCACTCTCCACGTATTTCAGAAATGAGAAATTTTCCCATAAGAGCTCTTCCTGTTCCATGCTGTCCTTCACAGGACAGGAGACTTCTTGGTGGTTGCTTTTTCTGTATAGCTTGCATAGTGACTGGGAGTCCAATCCAGGCGTCAGTGACTGGGGTGGGAATTTTTTTGTAATGGAAACTAGGGTACAGTGGTGTTAAGGAGGATTGTCCAGCAGCTGGCATCCTGGTTTGGCTGTTGGGATGCTATGTCTGATTCCAAAATCTCACTTCCCCTGTGCATGACTTTGGTAAATTGCATAATCTCTGTCAGCTTTCCCTATCTACAAAATTTAAATAATGGATTTATCTTTTGTAAACCACTTTGCGATGCTCAATCAAAGAAACTATGTAAATGCAAATTACTATTAAGATTGATCCTTCCCTGCAATTAGAAGGTAGAAATGACACAGATTCATGGATTCTAAGGCTAGAAGGGACCACGTTGATCACCTAGTCTGACCTCCTGTATAATACAGGGCATAAAACTTCCCCAAAATAATTCAGAGAGCATATTTTTTAGAAAAACATCCCATTTTGATTTTAAAATGATCAGTGATGGAGAATCCACCACAACTCTTATGAATTGTTCCAGTTGTGAATTATTCTCAGTTAAAAATGTATACCTAATTTCCAGTCTGAATTTGTCTAGTTTCAGTGTCTGGTAATTGGATCATGTTTTATCTTTCTCTGCTAGATTGAAGAGCCCATCATTATATATTTGTTCCCCATGGGGGTACTTTATAGACTGTGATCAGGCCACCTGTTAAACTTCTCTTTGTTAAACTAAATAGATTGAGCTCTTTGAGTCTATCACTAGAAGCAGGTCTGCCGACAGCAATTCCAGGCCCCCGGGGCAGAACAGTCAATGGGCTCCAGCCTGCACAGATGCGGTCCACCTGACATTTGGGCGATGCTGCCGGCTGCACAGGCTGATGCCCAGCGAGCTGCCGCCGACTGCCTTCGCCGCTGCCGGTACCACTCTGCACGTGCCTAGGAGCCCTGCCCTGCAGCCTGCCCAGGCAATTCCACATGAAATCCTTTGAAATTGCCCGAGCTCTTGGGCAATTGCCCTCTTTGCCACCCGCTGACCCCATTTACAGTTACATTTTGCAACCTATCAGTTAGCCAGTTTTTAATCCATGTAATGTATGCCATGTTCATTTTATATCATTTTAGTTTCTTAATCAAAATGTCATGCATTACCAAGTCAAACCCCTTACAGAAGTCTAAGTAGATTACATTAACTCTATTACCTTTACCAACCGGGCTTGTAATTTCGTCAAAAAAATATATCTAGTTTGTCAGAATTTATTTTCAATAACCTATATTGATTTGCACTGATTACATTATCTTCCTTTAGATCTTTATTAATCAAGTCCCGTATCAGCTGCTCCGTTATCTTTCCCTGGATTGGCCTCAGGCTGACAGGCCTATAGTTACCTGGGTCATCCCTTTTATCCTTTTTAAAAATTGGCACAACCTTAGCTTTCTTCTTGGTGCTCCAAGACTTATTGAAAAGCAATGTTAATGGTCCAGCAAGCTGCTCGGTCAGCTCTTTTTAAAACTCTTGGGTGCAAGTAATCTGGACCTGCTGATCTAAAAATATCTAACTTTAGTAGCTTTTGTTCAGCATCCTCTAGAAATACCAGTGGACTAGAAAGTGTGTTATCACCGTATGGTGAGACTGTCATCTGTTTTTCCTCAAATATAGAACAGAAATATTTACTGAACACCTTTGCCTTTTCTGCATTATTACTGCTAATTCTATCATTTCCATCTAGTAATCAACCAATACCATGGTCAAGGATTTTTTGTTCCTAATTAGGGCTGTCGATTAATTGCAGTTAACGAATGCAATTAACTAAAAAAATTAATTGCAATTAATTGCAGTTTTAATCGCATTGTTAAACAGAATACCAATTGAAATTTATTAAATATTTTGGATGTTTTTCTACATTTTCAAATATATTGATTTCAATTACAACACAGAATACAAAGTGTACAATGCTCCCTTTATATTAATATTTTTTATTACAAATATTTGCACCGTAAAAATGATAAACAAAAGAAACAGTATTTGTCAATTCACCTCATATAAGTACTGTAGTGCAATATCTGTATCCTGAAAGTGTAACTTACAAATATAATTTTTTTTGTTAAATAACTGCACTCAAAACCAAAACAAAGCAAAGGTTTAGTCCACTCAGTCCTACTTCTCAGTCAGTGTTTTCAGCTTTTTGCAGTTGGTCCTTTTAAAACACCAAGTATTACTGGTCTGGATATTCTTCTTCTTGCATATTATAAATCTGAGCAAGTCATGATCACTTGTACCTACCATTAACTTTTAGTTCTGTGATCAGTTCCTCCTTTATAGTTAGGACTAAGTCCAATATAGAATTCCCCCATGTTGGCAGCAACACTTTTTGAGTTAGGAAATTATAGATGACAATGTTTAGAAATCCCAAGGATGTTTTAGTCCTGGCAGCATGAGACCTCCAGCATATGTCACTCAGATTGATGTTTTGTCCCACCCCCTCTCTCTCCAATCACCCAGGTTTCTTTCCTACGAATTATAGACAGGTGTGTATGGAGGTGGTCATCCAGTTCCCTAGTGTGATTTGATGGTCTGTAGCAGACATCAACTAATAATCCTATCTTGTGCTTTATCTGTTAGGACATTGATCCATAAGCATTAAATATCGTTTTCTTCTGAGTTATCAATGACTTGGAAACAGGTAATGCCATTTTTGACATAGAGTGCCATGCCCCTTTCCCTTTTGCCCACTCAGTCCTTCCTAAATGTGTTATAACCTTTGATTTTAACATTCCAATCATGTGACTCATCCCACCCGGTTTTAGTAATCCCAATTAGATTGAATTTATGCTCACAAATGAGCAATTCCAGTTCATCTTGTTTGTTACCCATGTTCCTAGCATTGGTGTATAGGCAATTCAAGAATTTCTTCTTTTCATGTCCTTTGGTTTCTTGATTAATTTTGTTCTCAACATCTTGATTTTGTGCTATGTGCCTGTATTGTCTTTTTTCCCCTCCCCTTTTGCTATTAGCTTAAGGCTTCCTGAGTACTCCAGCCAGCCTGTCTCCAAGGAGATTGGTCCCCCTTCTACTGAGGTGGAGGCCATCTGAGCTATACAGCCCCTTCTTTCCATAGAAGGTGGACCAATGTTCCACAAAACCAAAACCCTCCACCACTTACCTAGCTTGAAGAATGAAGTTTGATATCCCTTCATTTTTATCCTAGCTACTGTAGCCATGGATGTCAAATAATCCTGAATCGTATTAAACTCTTTGCCTCAAAAGTAATTATTTAGGCACAGTAGGTGTGTGAGGGAAAAAATGATTCTTTAGTGTTAAATTTGCTGCCTTTTGTCATTGTGAGCGCCCTTGTTCTTAACAATAAACTCTTACGTAGTGCTTATCTGTAGCTCTCAAAGCCTTTTAGAAAGGGGGTGAATATCATTATTCCCATTATATAGATGGAGAAACCAAGGCAGACAAAACTGCAGTGACTTGACCTGGTCTCCCAGGGAGGAGTCAGTGACAGACCCAAGTGTTCTGGCTCCCTGGACAATGCTCGATCCACTGGACCATTGTGCCTCTTATCCTGTTTACACTCTCTCACAGCAGAAGATCATGATTTCACTTCTTTGTAACGCTCCCTATTTTATATACCTCTATCATGTCACCTTTTTCATCTGTTTCCTGAAGAATCCATTTTTATTATCTCTTCACATGGAAGTCTGTCCATGCCTATAATTGTCCAGCTGACTTTAATTATAATGACACCAAATAGAGCTCTTAGTTGAGGTCCTGCCTGTCTTCTCTAATAGGATGTTTGCAGTTGCTGCAGTGGGAATGTGATGTGTGAGGTGTCCTCTTCACCAAGCTTAGGAGAAAGTGTTCCCTTTAGAACTGGCTTTTTATACATTATATTTTCCATGCTTCCTCCCTAAACTCATCAGCACTTAGTGGCTAGATGGGTCAGGTAGGGAGGAGGTTGATGGAAAACGGCCTTTCTAAAAAAGGTAGAGGCTTATGACAGCTACTAAGCAATAGCAGCGGCTCTGGACTATTTTGCTACCCATCAGCACTTAAACAATAGTAAGTTTGCAGCAGAGGAAGGGGCAGTCTGAGTGTAGTCTGGACCCGATGCTGGGAATGAAATCTAATGCTCGTTCTGGCTTCAGTTTCAGCGGATATTCTCTCCAGTTTTCAACAGACCTTGCACTGTACGCTGCTGAATCCAGATCCGAAGTGTCGTCCACCACTGTCCAGCTTACTGTCTCATGAGTTCTTCAGGTGAGGGAATGAATGCTTTGTCTGTTTGGCTATAGCTCCCTGTTCCTCACTTCTGTGTTGTTGACATCACTCATTTCATTTTGAAAGGTTGTTGGTGGTTCTTTGATGCATGAAGTGCAAACATAATTACCAAGCTCACAGGCATGTTGTCATGTGGGATCTTTGACAAGGCGACTCCTTAAATTCAGAAGTCCTCATAGCGGGCTGTTGAATTATCAGCAAGATGGTTGAAAGAGTGACACTCCCATGCATCGCAAATGTTATCTCCCCTACTTCATACTAGGTGCTGATGGAGGGCATAGAAGACCAGGCTGTTAGAGGTACCTCTATCTTAGATCCATCTTGACTTCCAGTCTCTACAGACCTACAGTTGCCATCACCTAAACATGTTGCTGCCTTGGGATAGTGTTATTGGCCTGTTGTGGGAATTTCCTTTTCTCACCATAATTTGGGTATCCTGCTCAAGAGATTGCAAATGTACTATTGCTCAGTTCATACTGTATATAGCTGCATCATTCAATTCCAGTTGTAGACCTGCAGATTGAGGAAATTACTCTTGGTTTCAGTCCAGCTTCTAATGGACAGATGTCCAAATCACATAATTGCTTTCACCAGCCTCCTTGATAGCCTCAAGAGAGGCTAAGAATGGAATGGAGTGGTTGCAATGGGAGCTGAAGCGCACAGATGCAGTGAGGAATGCAAGAAGCCCAAACTGTCATTCTGATGTTCCCAGTCCAATGTCATGTGACTTGTTACTCCCCTTTCCTCCTCCATGTGCCTGATTAATGCAGGATGTGGCTTTCTTGAATCTCAAGTTCCTGATTCTTAGCCTTCTTTCTTTTTATGGTCAGAAATGATTTTCTAGAAGTTGTGAACTTTCTGAAAAGTTTAACCTTAAAGACTGAGGAGGAGAAAACTGAATTTTTCAAGTAAGTGAAAAGTTTTAAGAGCTTTAACCTTTGTGGAGAGCATTTATTGCGGTGGGAGGGGGGGATGACTTTGTCATGTTCAAAATGGGATCTCAGCAAGACTTTAAAAGGTTTATAGCTGGGATGATCCTTCCTCCTATCTGTGGATCTCCGTCTCTTACACAGAACATCACTGATGTGTTCTGATTTTAATGTAATCTTATACAAACTCCAAGAAGATCCATTGTTAGCGTTGAATAGGATATACCTGCCATCATCTTTGCTGTGTGGTTTGATTCCGAACAACTAATTTTTCTTGGAAATGGTATCTACACAATTTTCTATGTGCTGATCACTGTGGTTGTCACTCCAAGAAAAGTAAAAACCATGTGTAAACTAGGTGAGTAGCAAGTACTTTCATTGCAGAGATAATTGGTCCCGTTGTTCCCTGGGAATGAGCTAGAAAATTTGGACTGTGGTGGACATGGTTGTCTGAAATCTCAGGTGTATTTTAGAGGTCTGATTGGATTCTCTATGGAAACTTAGGCAAAACCAAGGACAGAAGCTTTCCCTTGGGTGGTAGGCTGTTAAGACAAACCAGGTTGTATATTGTCCACTAGCCACAATGGGAAATTTAGTTTAGTTTGTTCAGTACAGACAAGGAGAAGCATGACTAATTTAGCAGAAGGTTTTTTATTTAGATCCCACTTGGTCTACATGGCAGAACTACCCATTTCCCCTTACTTCTGCATCAGTCATGGTGTCACTTTCAGGATATTATTATGCTGTAGCATCATGTTGCCATCGTGTGTGGTGGTGAGGGAAGAAGGGGTGTGATATCATTGTAATGCTGCTCATTTGATGAACTGAATCCAAGACCCTCCTCCCGTAACTAACACTTTTGGCACAACTAGAGCTTCTGGAAGATAAGACTGTCAGAATTTTTTTATTATGGTAAAATGTATTTTTCCCTGGCCTCACTCTTGGAAACAGCTGAACTCTTCTGGCTGAAATTTTCCAAAATCCAGCCGCTTTCAGACCCACTTTATACATGGTAAAGAACCATTTAAAAATAATCCTGTACAGATCACTTCTGAAATACTTTTTGCCTTAGATTAAGGGAAGGTCTTCCTGAGTTGATGTCCTTCCTTGCACGGGAAGCAATCTTGTTCAGGCAATGTCCTGCTGAATAAACATGCTTGTCTGTTACCGAGTGGCAGAAGGGCGACCCTTGTAATGTGTATGGGGGTTGGGATGTAAGTGCATTTTAACTCTAGGGCTTTAACACTGTGATAGTTCATGTGAGCTCCTTGCTCTGAAACACAGACACAAACTGTGGTGATGGACAGTTTTATAAAAGACAGAAATATTCATAGTCTGGCTACAGAATTTGATTGGGGCTTGCTTGGCTGGCTGGCTCTCTCTGGTGTAATCCTTGCCAGCCAGTAGCTTGGCTATGAGGTTTCACAGGATGTATCCATTTCTTTATTATTTATGATTTTGTTTGGGGAATATAGGCCCTACCTCAAATCAGGATTGGGGCTCCATTGTTGTAGGCACTGTACAGACACCATGAGATAACCCCTGCCCCGAAAAGCCCACAGTCTAACTAGAGAGGGAGGGGAAAGGGATATTTAATGGAAACTCATTCTGAAACCAAGTCATAATCAAATTTAAGAAAATAAAAAAAGTTACCCTCATACTAACTGCTCTCTCTCAAAACAGATTCCTGATGGATAGAGTGGCCTGTTTGTCAGAGAAGCTGATAGCTTCACGGCTGGTGCCTCTCTTACTCAATCAGCTTGTGTTTGCTGAGCCAGTAGCTGTCAAGAGTTTCCTTCCACATCTGCTAGGTCCAAAGAAAGGTGACTTTGAATATTCTCTCTTCAGAGCAAACACTTCCTCATTTGGAGTGAAATCAGAGGGGTTAGTTAATTTGAACAGAGGTTTTAATAGTGGTGTTTGTTTAAGCCAAGCAAGTACTGTAAGGTAAAGGACCAAAGATTCTGTCATTCCAGATACAGAATAATGGGAGTACCCCCGTCCACCAAACTTTTCATTGTTCCTTTGTCACATGCCTCCTGCGGTTGTTGAAAAGAAGATTAGCAATTGTCTGGCCGCCTTCCATGCAGCTATAAATGGCCCTCCCCAGGACTGTGGGGCAAGGGGCATTTCTTAGAGCAGCAGCTGTGTATACCCCCTCCCCTCCCCTCCCTTAGCATTCTTGCAGATAACAAGGCTGCCCCCTAGCTTGAGCTGTGGGAAGGCAGCAGGTTACTCTGCCACCTCGCTGGCATGGGGCAACTTCTTTCCCCCCAGGAGGCATTCACTCTCCCTTCTTTCCCCTGCTGGAGTGCTTTGTCTCTCTCCCTCAGTAGTTCCTGTGCCCTTTCTTTGCTCCCCCTCCTTCACAATTTTGCCTAAGCAGCCACAGGGACTTGTGTGCCCTTAGCTGCCCAGAGGGGTCACTGTCAAGCAATGCAAATCATTCCTGCCCCACCCTTCTGATGTCCTGAGCATGCTAGCTCTGCAGCACTTCTGGCTCCTGCTGACCAAGAGAGCGTGGCATTAGGACTATGATTCAAACTGGGCTCCTCAGTGATAGACCTAAGCCCATAGGCTGCTGGCTGTGGTGACTGAGAGTAGCGTTAACTTGCAGAGAGTTGTCTTTGGTCTGGGAGGTAGCCTGTTCCATGTTTCAACTCTTCCCTAGATAAAACTGGAGAAAGTGAGACCACCTGCCTGCTGTCACCAGCCCTCTTCCAGACGCACGTCACTCCTGTGTTGCTGAAGCTGTTTGAGGTCCACGAAGAGCATGTGCGAGTGGTGCTGCTGTCTCATATTGACGCCTACGCAGAACTGTTCACGCAGGAAGAGTTGAAAAACATCATATTGCCACAGGTTAATGATGAGGCAGACAACGGGACTGGACATGGCGTATCAAGAGTGTGGGGATTCTGCTGCTGGGATGGCCTCTGTTGCTTATTACACATAAAGATCTCCTAGTCCTGGCAACAGTGAAGCACAGTGCAGGCAAATTGTGTAAGCTTTCCCCAAACACCCAACTCTGCCAAATGCAGCTCCCTTCACTTATTCCAGGCCTGGCACCCATGCACCTCCTCACAGCTCAGTCAGTTCACCTCCATCCTGAGCTAGAGCCTTCCTTGCTAACCCAGTCCTGCCCCCTCACCCTAGCTACGCCAGGGTACCTCAGTCCTGATCTGGAGCACCCCTTGATATTCCAGTCCTGCCCCCTAACCCTAGCTATGCCAGTGTTCCTGGAATATATAGATATTCCAGTGCTAAGATACCCCTTCTTCCTCCCCTCCCACAACTCATACACATCAAGCTTGATTTATGACCTCCCGCTTATGACAATACACTGCCTCTCCATCCTATGCCACTCCAGTATCTCAGTTGTGGGAGTCTTTTGAGCAGAGATGACTGGTCATTCTGAATTGTGCCAAATGATTTGCAAAGTGGTCCAGTGTTCACAAGGAGCTAGTATGGGTGACCCTTTTTAACTGGTAACATGAATCAGGTTTTGAACCCTAGTGAGGAGTAAGGCTACTTTCCTACCCAGGGAAGTGATATACATATTGAATTTTGATTGTCAGAGAGAAGATGACACTAATAGTGAGTTTCATAAGTGGTTATCCACATGATTGTCTAGATGAAAGAACGCTGTAAACATCTTTAATGGAAGAGCTAAAGAAAGAATTGCTCAGATTTTTTGCTGTTTCTGATAGCTTTCTGGTCTTGTCCTAGGTGCTACTGGGCCTTCGAGATACCAGTGACTCTATTGTTGCAATAACGCTGCATGGCTTAGCGGTTCTGGTCTCTCTGCTTGGACCTGAAGTGGTTGTGGGGGGTGGAAGAACTAAGATTTTCAAATGCTCCGCACCGAGTTTCACTAAAACTACGGATCTTTCGCCAGCAGGTAGGTAAATGCAAAAAGAGTTTGGGATTGCAGCACAGTGAGATTGGTTTGTGCTGTCCAATCTTTGCCTGTGCTGCTTGGATAGGGACTCTAGGAAGATTCCCTCATGTGGATAAGCCTGTTAAGTGAGGGCCTCTTGCCCTCAATAGTGGAAAAAATGATCTGCAAAGACAGAACTGGGGTAATGTATTTAGCAACAGATTGTTCCTGCCACAAGCTGCTCCAGTGAGATGTAGAGGAATAAACCACCAGTGACAAAGGCACTGTTGAAAGACCACACTGGGAACAGCCATATATAAACAAAACCACAACTTTCCGTTTTGTTAAAGGGACACAGCGAGGAGTATTAGTATTGTAACCAATCCCTCCTAAATAGTTAAAATTTCAGTCAGCTCTATGACTTAGTACGACATGGTATTAAATGGAGCAGTGGACCTTGTGTCTGGCATCTTGTGACATTTTAACTGTTTGTAATTGATCTGTTTCCCCCTTGATGTGGGAGAAGAAAAAGCAGAAGCTAATTGGTTTTGTCTTGATGTTAGCTGTAGGCCTTGTCTATAACTGTATTTCAGCCTTGCATAGCTACATTAATACAACCCCTCCGGCAGTAGGCAGTTTACACTAGCACAATTTACACTGGTGCAGCTTACCTGGCTTGGAAACGGGGGTAAGTCATGTGACACCCTGGCACCCCACTATTCGCCACTGTCATGTAATTAGGATATGTTTTGCACAAAGTATGACTTGTGAGGTATCATCATTCTAAAAGTCTTGATCTGCTAGACAGTAATATCTTGTTTGATTGTATGTGCTATCGTCATATGTCAAGTTATGAAGTTTGGCTATGTATGTGTTGAAACATGTTGTGAGGTTGAAAACGCCCACAAGCAGCCTTTCAGGTACAACAGTAAAAAGGCCAAACAATGTTAATGGCTCGTTGAGAAAATGCACACAAGCACAAGGATTACCCCAGGAACTGTGTACAATAGAAACCTCTCAGAGATAGCACTACACAGTGGGAACCCAGGTCACAGCAAAAGAGCTTTCCAGCAAGTGGGAAGAAGATATAAAAGGGGGACAATGATATCATGATGGTACCTCACTCCCCCTACAACAACACATCTGGAAACACCAGAGGGGCAAGGACTGAACTGGGGGAAATGATGGTCCCAGGCTAGAGGGATTTTTAGCCTGTGTATGAAAACCTGGGAAAGCCAAGGAAGCTTGTGCCTTAAGAATCTGCCAGCCTGTTCATCACTCAGGGTGAGCATTTGCTAATTCATATCCTACCTATTTAGTGTGTTAAACAAAACCACAAACTGAGCTTATTTACTAAGGTAATCTGCTTTGATCTGTTTGCTATCACTTATAATCACTTAAAATCTATCTTTTGTAGTTAATAAACTTGTTTTGTTTTGTCTAAAACCAGTGTGTGTGGAAATTGTAACTTCGGGCAGAAAGCTGTTGCATATGTCTCTCCACATTGAGGGAGGGGGTGAATTTTATGAGCTTACGCTGTACAGTTGCCTGTGCAGCGCAAGACAGTATAATTTTGGGTTTGCACTCCAGAAGGGGGTACGTGCCTTAGCAACTGGGAGGTGCCTTACCTGAGCCTTCCCACGCAGAGCTGATCTGAAGCTGCAGCTGGGTGTGTCCCTATCTGTATGCTGATGAAAGAGCAAAGTTGAAGAGCTTGGCAACTTATCACAGCACCACAGTTTGAAAGGGAGCCCAGGCTGGTGGGTCAGGCGAGCTCAGTGGTACCCCAGTTCCAGGTGGCACCCCGGAAGGAATCCGTCACAAGCCACACTGATACAAATCACCCTGTACTGGTGTAAAGTGTGTTACATTAGGGGACTGCATTTGTGCAGATACATAAGGTGACAGAAATCACAGTATGGCGCTCTGCCACCTTGAGTGGTGGCTGGACCTTAAATAGAGGTTGTTGAGCCTGCTATAGCCTTGGCAAATAGACCGGACTCTTCTACCTCAGGCAGAAGAGACTCCAGCTTTTAAGATCTAGGGCTCCAAGGCCCAGTCCCCGCTGCTGCTGATCCAGTCAGGGTTTAGTGTTACACAGGCAATGCCATAGTGACTGGCTTCATTTGCACCAGTGCTGGCTGCCTGTTGCTGTGTGTGCTGAAACACCTCAATCAGCTGGTTCCTGTACTGAACAGCAGACTGGTTTACGTCACAGCCTATGAGAGGCAGCTGAGAGTTTGTTTTGCATGTGTATGGCAGCGAAAGAGGCGTCAAGGGAGGAGATAACAGGAGAATCCCTGTGGAACCTTGTGACTGTCTGACCTGCAGAGCAGAAGCTTGTGTTTGGGGAGACAGATGGTTGAATAAACACTGTTCGCCATCTTAGATGCATAGTAATAGGATGTGAATGGGGCTCATATTACTTTCACTTCATTAAAGTGCGGTGATGGCTGCTGCATTCACCCAGGGGTCTGCAAAGCACCCAGGCCTCAAATGTAGAGCCCAAGTACGTTTTGCTGATTCAAGGGCTGCCTTAGCAAGTTGCCAGGAATCTGAAGACCCAGCAAATTGCAGAAAATGGAGTAGATTGTGGGCCATCTTGGGTTTCATCCTAGCAATTGAATGTAATGAAGATCTCTATTGTGCCTTTGTTCTGAGCAGAGCAGCAGCTATTGAGTGAGTGTCCTTTGTGTTTTTGCTTTGTATCCCTGCAGACTCCCCAACTCACATTAGCAACCAGAGAAGTCAGCTCTCCCAGCCCCTGCAGAACAACTCTTCCAGTGTGTTCCCCAAGTGCCCCATCGCTGGAAACGTGTCCCTCAGCAGCGAGAAACATGTGCCAAGAAAAGACTCTCAGGTGGCCTTAAAGACAGGTAAACCTCCAGAGCTTTCTTACTGGAGCAGTCCTTGCTACTAAACACTAATGACTAATATCCTTTTTGGTGGTAGCACAACAGCGCTGCCTCCTGCTGATTTGAAATGGCTACAGAGGTGCCATTTTCAGTTGAGTGACTCACTGCCATATGTACCTGACAGGTAAAGGAGCTAGGAAATGTGGGGAGTGGAGAGTACAGAGGAAGAACATAACACAATGTTTAGGAGAACAGTTTGTATGTTTAACCTCTGGAAAGCTAAGTACTGGAGGGGGGGCTCTCACTGCTTGATTTGCACGGGAATGGATAGAAGATAATTGAGAAGACTGAAGTAAACAATGACACTGCTGGCAAACTGAGCAACATAGATATGTACCCATAATGGCATGTCTGTTTGCCTTTGCGCCCTGGCCCTTTTATGTGCCCTAACCTTCCCACCTCATAGCTAGGTAGGTGAGCAGCTCCAGCAATGAGCTGAAAGCTGTCATGACTCACTAGCTAGTTGCAATTGGCACCATTCATATACTTGCTGCTTCCCTGTCTTCAGCAAGCTGATCCAAAATGTCCATCTGTGTTTGTTCTCCTTTGCCTTTGTCCAGTAGCAGCTCAGCAGCCCCTGGGCACTTGCTGGTTAGATGTTCCAAGCTTAGTAACCCTCCCACTGTAGGCAGGAAGCTGGTCACTGCTTCTGAGGCAGAGGCATTTCTGCCCTGCCTTCTCTTCTCCTTTAGCAGCACTTTGAAGCATCAGTATAGATCACTGGTGGAGACAAGGCACTGGGCTATGTGGAGCACTGTTCTGATCTAGTGTGACTGTTCCTGAGCAGGCCGGTGTGGTGTTTCCTTAGTGATCGAGTTAGGGCATCGTGGGAGTTCTAGGTATAACTTACATTCCCAGTTTTATGGGAAAGGCACAATTTAGCACCATCCAAAACAGGTGTGTAATTCCTATGTCTTCCACAGTTGAACAAGACCCTCAGCTATCCCTGAATGGAGATCCTGCTGCGATGAATACTGTGGGAAGCAGCAGGAGCCCTTTGAATACTTCTGAAAAGCCAACAGAGGAATGGCCAGACTGGAGCGAGTCCGAAGAGCCCGAGACTCAGAAAATTGTGAACGTACAGCTCCGGCCTATGGAGCCACATGGCAGCACTGGGCCCTATGTTGTTGATCATAATGTGGACAAGGAACCCTTGGACAACTTTGAGCCCAGCAGCCCTGCTCCTAAACTGTTCTCAGGAAACAGCCTCAATGCTACGAGAGCTGATGGAGTCCAAGTGCAGAGGCCACTCCCTGGTGCCCTTCAGCCGAGCAAAGAATCCAAAAGCTTCAAACCCAGTCCTCCCCCAATGTCCAGCCCTGTGAATTGCTGGAGCAATGACAGCTGGGACCACCCAGACCAGCTGAGAGAAACAGCATTCCTGGAAAGGTCTCCCAAGTCTCCATGGGAGTCTGGCTTAGGAGAAGAGTTCACAATCCAAGTGAAGAGGAAACCAGGGCGAGATCCTGAGTTGGACTGGTTTGCTGACATGACCCCAGATATTAAACCATCTGCAGCTTTCCTGATTTTACCAGAAGTGAGGACAGACTCGGTTGTTCTTAGTCACTTAAGTGCAGTTTCCAGTGGAGAGGATACCTCCCAGATAGTGCAATTTTCATCCAAATTTGCAGCAGCTGAAGTCAATGAGGTGAGAATACGGGGAGTTGGGGGGATTATATTGAGTGATGTGGTAAATTGTAGAAGGAAAAATGCATTTCAAGGAATGCAAAATGCAAGCAGGTCCTGCACAAACCTGCCACTATGCCTCAGTCCTTAGCAGCTGGGTGTCATCTGTGCAGTGCTGGCACAGTGCATGCTGCCTCAGCAGCTTCATCTAGACAGTGGATAACATGGGGGAGAGGAAGGAGTCTTTGCAGGTGAGGAAACAGGTGGACATCAGTTGACTGCTGTAGAGGTGCTGAATGATGCATCTTATCAGGCACTATTGTTAGTTTGATCAGCTCTTGTAGCTGCAGATGTGTGATAAGAGGCACATGAAACTGATTAGTACAGTTTGGGTAAACCTGTGGCCTTTAAAACAATTAGGCACAGTGGCTTGAGGACTAGGAAGGGGATATAAACTTTTCCTTCTAGTTCTTGAGTTCAGATCCAGATAGGGGCTGTTTAGTGACCTGTGTGAAATATGATTGTCCTAGCCCAGCTTCTACTAGACAGATACTTTCAACGCAAGTGTGACCTTGTAGATTCAGTGGAGTGGCCAAAGATTTGAAGAGTTGGGAGTCTAAATTCCACTCTCAGCTGTAGCAGTCCTGCTAAAACAGCTGAGGCACATTGTGGGGTCCAGCATGAACCACATGGCATTAAATGGGATGTTTTGCTTCTGGGACTCTTTCATTAGTTATGTAATCCCTTTTAAAAGATAAACGTACTATAAAATAGGATGGGTGGGGGGATCTATGCACCTTGCAAATGAACTCCTCCTTTTAAATGGTTTGTACGATCTGAAAAGAGGAAAGAAACAGCTTGTCCACGACAGCCAGTGGTGCTAGAATCCTGCACATTTTCTGTAGGGAGTTGTAGAGTGGTGTGTAATTCTGGTTTCTGTCATCACGTGCCTGTATAATGTACCAGATAAATCAAAACAAAGTCCTAGGCTGCTTATTGAACTGGGCACGTGACTTGGAGGTTCTGATGGATTGTCACAGAGTCCAAGGACTGCTGCTATGTTCTGCAGCAGTGAGGGACAGGGTTATGGCTCTGCACATGGAACAGTCTGCTTATCTGACTGAGTCCTGGGCTGTGGGTGCTCCTAAGAAGGGGAGAAGCAGGAAAGGCTATTCTCCCTCCCCAAACAGCCTCTGTCTCTGAAATGGAACAGGGTGACCTGTCACAGCCAGTGGTAGTGCTATCGGAGCTGAGGGACTGAGAGGCTGCCTTGCAGGACAAAGCACAATCACTGTCAGTGCTAGCAGGAAAGGGAACATCCCCTGCTTGCCACTAGAGCATGCAGGGTAGGAAGAGAGAGAGGTGTATAGAGACCCCTTCCTCTACAGCCTTTTGGAAGGGAGGAGCCCTCACCTCCCTTAGAGATAACAGTTCCTGTGTTAAGAGCATGTGTTCCTCTGCTGAGTGATATGGCTAAGAACAGGGGGACTGCTGCTTTTACCCCACCTTGCTGCCATAGTACTTTACTCCCATTTGAGAGTCAAGGCAGGGACAGAGACTGGTTTTAAACCATTGTCTGACTGCAAAATACCTAACTCACCTATCTGTGTTAAATAATTGGTCCAGTGCTAGCTTAACGCACACCACCTTTGGAAACCACTGCTATCTAATGTACTGATATGGTGTCCCCGTCCCCCACCCCACCCCCCCACCATAGTATCTGAGCACCTAATGCATTTATCTGCACAACACCCCTGGGAGGTAGGGAAGTGTTATCAGATAGAGGTTAGTGACTTGCCTGGGTCACGCAGGGAGTTGATGCTTGATCTCCTGTGTCTCAGGCCAGTGAGTGGCTGAACCACATGCAGCACAAGGATTTTATTTCAGTCAGGGGGAACAGTCTAAAAGCTGACCTAACTAGGACAGGGAGAACAGGCTTCACAGGGAGGGCTATTTTAATCTTAGTGCTGAGCTCCATGGTGGCTCCTCACAAAACTGCAGGGAAGGGATGTATTTATGGCCAGGCATGGCCATTGCATCCGCTGCACAGCCTGGCTCAATGGGCTAACCCTAGTGCCTGTCTATAGCGTATAAGTTCCTACCTCTGGGGTGGGAGGTTTCAGGTTCTTAGAAATGATGCACAGAACCTCTCTGCAAACCTGTTTTACCAGGGGGGATTGAAACCTCACCCAAAGTGACATTTTAAAGCAGCTGATGTCTTAACTGCCTACCAACAGTTCCCCCGTAATGCAGTGTTTCAAGTGCTTCGTTTGAATTGTTCTGGAAGGAAGAGATGGCTTGTTTCTAAAAATAGCACATGATATTTGCTTATTTTCTGGTACCACAGGGAGTAAATTATTAGAAGTGGGACAGCTGAGCTCTGCTCAGAAAAAATATTGTCACTACACGTACCTCTGGGTGCTCAGTGTAGGCAAAGTACAGACAGGTCTGGTCACTGATCTAGGTAAGTAGGAGCTGGTGACCCCTTTTTATTTTCAGCCCTAGTAATATTTTATTTAGGCCACTTACCGCTTCATCTACTATGTCTATATAAAGATTTAATGGGGGATGCTGGATTTGGAAACTGCCTGGGGTTTAGGGTGAGAGCTGGTGATAGCCCAGCAAACCTGACACTCTTGTTGAGTCTGCTGAGGTGGTTTCTAGTACTAGTGGCCTTGGGGCAAGGACTGTCTCTCTCTCCCCGTTACCAGGCCCTCACAGAAGGGTTGCATGGCATTACAGCACATTCATTTTGCTGCTGCTCCAGCCAGTAACTGACCAGCTGTGCAGTTTACTCAAAGGCCAGAGGATTGCCAAAAACCTGGGTCAGGGAGGTAGAACTCCAACAACTCTCAGCCAGCTGTGAACTAAACAGGAATTCCCCAGGAACAGGGGGCCCCACTGATGTCTGGCGTAGTTATCAGGGGTTGGGTTAATGTATCTATTTTACGTGGCTGGATGTAGCTCTGCATGACTGTCATCTGGTGTGTTCTTACTGACACAGTTTATGTAATTATTCTAGGCTGAAACTGCAGGCTGGGGTGAAGAGGAAGAGGTGAACTGGGAAGATACTAATTGGTGATGGATGGGGAAAAAACAAGGGTAGTCTATGGCCTATTGCTTCCAGGATGTGTTAATTATTACCTCACCAACACGGCAGGCGAGAGCCCAATGCAGCCTAATCTTCCTATACCAGGATGCTCAAGCCATATGTACAAGTGAGGTGCATAGCCCTGGCTAGTGGAAATTGGAACAGCTTGAATGGTTTGTGTGTTGGAGCTGAAAGAGTGATTTATACTTTTCTGTTTCACAAATCATCACTGCTCTGGAAAACTCTTGAAAATAAATGAAAATTGCATTAGTTCAGATAAATTTTATTAATGTTTGTGCCATTTCTTTTTATTAGAAAAATAAGCCACACAGGAGGGGCTCCTTTTAACTTTTTAGATGCAAACTGCAATGATTTTAGACTGTACAGTTTACTTGGATGACCTATTTATTGCTGTTCTACCAGAATGAATGGCTGGGTGGGTGCAGTGTGCTAGGAGACCATTACAAGGAAAGTGTGTTTAACACAAATTGTATCATAGCTCTAAATTCACTGTTCTTTAACCTGACCAATAAAGATTATTTTCAAAAGATCAGTACAGTGTCTGAGTGAAACAGCAGCTCAGGTGCCTGACTTTGTAGATGTAACAGGGACAATTACATTCCATTTTCTCTTAGAAAAGATTCAAATACCTTACTACACAAGCCTGTTAAGCTTTCCCTGGTCCAAGTTAGAGCAGCATATGAAATCAGCTCCTTTACACAGCATGGAGTCAGTTAAATTCAACATCTTAAGGCAGAAGGCCTGTGTTCCAAAAAAGTTAACACATTCAGGCACATTAAACAAAACACTATTTACAGTGGGTGAATCAAAATCAGGGTGTTTTGTAGAAGGGTATCACTGGTAACGCCCCTTATTTTCAGTTTGTTCGTTTTCCAGCTGTGAACTCCCCCGGTGTTAGACACTGAACAGCTCAGCACTGGCTTAACACCTTATTGTACAGTGTTTCTTAAGATGGCTACTGCTGTCTGTAGAGCCTCTAATTTCACTGCAAGCCAAGCAGGAGACGGTCCTTTCTGCAGCAGCAGTTTCACAGCTTCCAGTGCTCTCTCGGCAGTGTCTATAGCAGACTTGTACTGCTCCTCACAGGGTGAGTGACAAGCTCTCTTTGCTAAGGGCTGAAGATTAAAACGTGAGATGTTAAACCTCTACTATTTACTTACAATCCCACTGATAGAAGCCAAATCCTCAACCTCTTAGATGAAAAATTACCAGGCCATGTAGTCACACACACAAGCCGCTTCAGCTGGGATGTTTCATGCAGGTTTCAACCTCTCAGTTTAAAGCCAGTGCTTAAAGCTGTGAGAATTTCTCTTAACAGTTTTATATGTCTCACTCACTGGTTCAATATCCCAATTAACACAGGGCATGGGGGCTCCTTTCAGTGTTGTAAGGCTGAGGGCCAACAGGTTCCCCTTTAAATGCTCCTCGAGTGAGTACAGGGCAATAGGGCACTTCTAACCCCCCCCCCTAGTAACAATGGGGGGAGAAGGGAGAGAAATGAATCCTCCCTCAGCAGAAGTGAAATCACATAGCCCTTGCTTATGACAGTCTAACAGGTTGGATAGGACTACCAGAGGCTAATGAAATGGGGTGGGCCAGGACTCCTGACTGGCACAGCTTTTCTCAGCTCCTCTGACGTGCCTTCCCCCCTTGCTCTCTCCCTCAGCCCAGAAAGAGGAGAGAGTTTGTGGCAGTTGCAAGGGCAGTACAGAGCCCAGCACTGAAGTGCAGCAGGTGGATGAGAGCAAGACTCCCTGTCAGCTCAGGATGGTGTGCCCTCTTCACAGCAAGTGCTGGGAGGAGGACAGTGCCATTCCCCATGGATGAGGGCACGGCTAAGGACTAATACAAACCTAGTCCAGCTGCTTTCAAAGAGACACCTACCTCTAATGCTGAGCCCCATTCTCCATCCATTTTCATTTTAAGCAAGTGTGCACTGCAGACGGCCTTTTCCTGTTTCACTCGTTCTGCCCTTGCTTCTGCAGTCTCCTCTTCCTGCCTTGCCTGAGGGAAAAGCCACAGGAGCGGTAACAACAAACCCAAACACAGCAGCATTTCCAGCCTCCCTGACTCTACCCCTTGACTATTACACTGTGGCAATGGAAATACTCTTTAATGTAATCTGTTTTTATTTTTTAAACTGCAGCTCTTCAGCAAGGCTTCAACCAGCAAACGTATGGCACGAGGCTGGGAGAACAGCTCAGTCTAATGTGGGCTACAACAACTATGCTGGAGCATCATTTCGTGTCTGACATTCGCAGTAGCAGTTGCTTTGCTGCCTCTCCCCTATGCAATACAGTGAGCAAAAACTCCTGTGCTGTCCCCTCTGAAGTGCTGCTGTCCAGTGGAAAGCTGGCACATCAAAGGAGGCAAGGGTTGTTAACAGCAGAGACAACTCTTCACCTTTTAATGGTCATGAGTTCAGTGCATTTACTAGGAAGTACAAAATACTCTTTCATTAGTTTTTTCTCAATGCACTCTGCTAGTCACTTATTTTCACTGAGGTGCCCATTAACTGGTACACACACAAAAATGACACACAGAGCAAAGGGGCTTGAGAATCCGGCCTTTTGCCTCTGAACAGGGGAGCTGCAATCTGTCATCTCACTAATGGATGCCTCTTCACCTTACCCGAAGCACCAGCCAATTTAGTCACCTTGTACTCAGGAAGGGAATAGCAGGGAATGTTAAATCAGAGTTGAGGCGCACTGGGAAAGTCTGTGGTGGAAACTTACACAGCATTTGCCATCACTGTTCCTCATTCTAGCCAACTTTAGCAAGCATGAAAAGGCTCGAGAAAACAAATATTCAGATTCCAGTTACAGAGCAGTCTTGTGTCACTTTACTGTGGGCAAGAGCCCCTCTTCTATCAAGCAAGACAACAGTAAAATAATTCAATAAGATACCTTGGCCAGAAAGCAAACAACTTTGTTTTTAGTTTCTTCAGAATTAAGGCACTGAGGAACTACATCTTCATGCTTTGTTGTCTGTCAAAGGTTTTGAGCAAGAAAAAGTTGGTTAGTATATTAACGTTCAATGCAGCCATAATAAAAATGAACCGTAGAGCATCTACAAAACAATCTGGAAAATGTTCTGTGTTGAGGATGTGGGTGGGGGGGTATTTAAAACAATATTGGAAATCTGTTCTTCCTTCACTTTTGCTTCCTAGGGCCACTGTATTTCTCTTGCATTTTGTTAATTCCTTTTATTTTCGTGCAATAGCACATGGAATATGGAGGTCAGTTTCAAGCATTTTGCTCCAGGATAGATATTGACAAAGTGGAGGGAGTTCAGAGAAGAGCAACAAAAATTAAGATGCTAGAGGAACTGATGTACATATTTAGCTCTGTTAATATTTCCTTGTATATCTAATGTGGTGTCATTCTTACCTCTGCAAACTGAGTGAATGCCTCCAGTGCATGTTGGTAAATCAGCCAAGTCTTGTCAGCCAACAGAGAGGCAAAGAGATATGACAGCTTGGGTATAACTTGCCCCTGAAAGGGGAGCACACACTAGTCAGAGAGCTAATCGGCATATCCTGCCCCCCTGATTCATCATTAAAGAAATATTTCTGTCAGAAGCCTAGAGTCTACAGGTCGAGAGAGTCTGCAACAGCCTTGGCTGGCAAAAAACAGAGAGAACATGTACACAAAACCCATTCCTTCCCATCTGGAGCTCATACATCAGCCCTTCTGTCAAGCTCCTGGGAAATAATATACAAATGAATGCACCCAGCATCCTACGGGCAATGCGAGTAACAGAAACCGTCTCACTAGAATATAAAACTGCCATAGAAGTAGTATGTCCTGGTTTGAAAATAAATGTCTCCAAGAACCAGTGGCACTATACTACATACTCCATGAACACAACCCATTAATAATATATACGAATGGCTCAGGACAAAATGTTGCCTCCAGTGCATTTACCTGAATTTCTTGTGGCATAAACAATTTCCCCATGGAAGAGAGAAGATCGAGTGCTGCCAAGCGAACATGATCTGGGGGATCCAACTCAAGGAGGGAAGCCTGCATTGCAAACACCTGCAGGAAAATAGATCTGGATGAAGCCCCATCAAATAAGAAACAAATACGACAAAAACTCTGTTCAATTGGGGATTGCAATGACCATCAAGTCTGAGTTCATTCAAAGCTAGAGAGAGTTAGATCAGGACAATAGATGCATCAATGGAACAAAAGCAAGTATCCCAGAGCTTTTCAAAATGTTACCCCCCCCAATAAAAAAAATGGAATCCTTACATAAAAGCCCAAAGTGCATTTGAAAGAGAAACATACATCATACACCATCACTGCCCTAAGCCCAGCGAAAAAAATGAGACTGAGAGTCCCAAAAGTGATGTGAACCAATGTGTAGCAAATACCATAGCAAAGCCATCAAAACAGTGTAGGAAGGAATCAAAATAAAAGTTAAGAATTCTTCATTCTTGCTAAGTGGTAGAAATCAGACCATGAAACATGATCATTAGATGTGATCTCATTTAATAACAAAGATCCAGCATGCACGAGGTAGACTGCATAAAAAGATGTCTTTTACCTGAGTTATCAGTTGAGGGTCTAATGTTTGGATGAAAAATTCCAGTAGTGGAAGGAGCAAGCAAAGTGTCTGCTGGAGGCATGGCTGACTTGAGACCTGCACCAGATCAGAAGAGCATATTATTTAGCATCATAGCACTTCTGTTTACAAGGCAATTTAACTGGTTTATAAAAGGCACGAGACTGCAAATATTGTGCCCAAAGCATTTAACTTCAGACAAATACAGTATAACCACAGATACAATTCCCATGAGAAGCAGTGAGGAAGGCTAGAAGTCTAAATACTAAGAGGGGCAAACTAGAGTGCCTGGTGTTAAGTGAGGACATTGATATATTAGGTATTGTAGAACCTCAGTGGAATGAGGAACATCAATGGGATGTGGTAATACCAGGGTACAAAATACATAGGAATGACAGAGTAGGTCATGCTGGTGGGGGAGTGACGTTATATTGAAAAAAAGCACAGAGTCAAATGAAGTAAAAGTCTTAAATGAATCAAACTGTACCATAGACTCTCTATGGATAGAAATTCCATGCTTGAACAACAAGAGTATAGCAGTAGGAAAGTACTATCAACCACCTGACCAGGATGGTGACAGTGACTGTGAAACGTTCAGGACAATTAGGCTACAAAGGCAGAAAATGTAATAATAATGGAGGATTTCGACTATCCGCATACTGACTGGGTGCATGTCACCTCAGGACAAGATGCAGAGATCAAATTTCTAGACACCAACAATGACTGCTTCATGGAGCAGCTAGTCCTGGAACTCGCAAGAGGAGAGACAATTGCTGATTTAGTCCTAAGTGGAGCACAGGATTTGGTCCAAGAGGTGAATATAGCTGAACCGCTCAGTAACAGTGACCATAATGTAATTAAATTTATCATCTTTGTAAGATGAAAATTACCAATGAAACTCGCCTCAGTAGCATTTAACTTCAAAATGGAGAGCTATACAAAAATGACAACGCTAGTTAAATGAAAATTAAAAGGAAGAATCAGAAGGGTGAAATGGCTGCAAATTGTATGGAGACTATTTAAAAACATCGTATTAGAGGCTCAAACTAAATGTATACCCCATATTAAAAAACAGTAGACGGAACCAAAAAAATGCCAGCATTGCTAAACAGCAGAGTAAAAGAGGCAGTTAGAGACAAAAAGCCATTCTTTAAAAATTGGAAGTCAAATCCTACTGAGGAAAATAGAAGCATAAACTCTGGCAAGTCCAGCATAAAAGCATAACTGGGTTAAAAGAAGAATTAGGTAAGTTCCTGCAGGATAGGTCCATCGATGGACCCAATCCTCTAGGTGTCCCTAAACCTCCAACTGCCAGAAGCTGCAACTGGACGACGGGATGGATCACTCGATAATTGCCCTTTTCTGTTCGTTCCCTCTGAAACATCTGGCACTGACCACTGTCAAAAGACTGATACTGGGTGAGATGGATCATTGGTCTGACCCAGTATGGCCACTCTTATGTTCATGATAATCAAAGAGAAGGAAAAAAGAATTGTTTAGGATGCTCGCATATTATAGGATGCTCTACTAGTGATATTTTTATTTAAAATCTATGGCATTTGTATCCCGCCCCTCGCACAGAAACCAAACAAGTAAGATGTGTCTCAACCTATTTTCTCCATAACCATTTGGCAAATAGTTATTCTCCTCCTTCCCCCACCACCCACATCTGAGCACAAACGATGACGACTCCCCTGACTGCACCTTCAAAAGCAGCAAGATATACACTGTTTGTGGGAAGTGTTGGTTAGTAACCTTCTGCTGCAGACCAATAGGAGGCCCTGGGTTTTGGTGTGCTACTCCAGATGGCAATGGTTTTCATTCTGGCTCTGTGGATGAGGGGAAAGCAGTGGACGTGTTATTCCTTGACTTTAGCAAAGCTTTTGATACAGTCTCCCACAGTATTCTTGACGGCAAGTTAAAGAAGTATGGGCTGGATGAATGGACTATACGGTGGATAGAAAGCTGGCAAGATCGTCGGGCTCAACGGGTAGTGATCAATGGCTCCATGTCTAGTTGGCAGCCAGTATCAAGTGGAGTGCCCCAAGGACTCCTCCCTCAGCAAGTTTGCAGATGACACTAAACTGGGAGGAGTGGTAGATATGCTGGAGGATAGGGATAGCATACAGAGGGACCTAGACAAATTAGAGGATTGGGCCAAAAGAAATCTGATGAGGTTCAACAAGGACAAGTGCAGAGTCCTGCACTTGGGACGGAAGAATCCCATGCACTGCTACAGACTAGGGACCGAGAGGCTAGGCAGCAGTTCTGCAGAAAAGGACCTAGGGGTCACAGTGGACGAGAAGCTGGATATGAGTCAACAGTGTGTCCTTGTTGCCAAAAAGGCTAATGGCATTTTGGGTGTATAAGTTGGGGCATTGCCAGCAGATCGAGGGACGTGATCATTCCCCTCTATTTAGCATTGGTGAGGCCTCATCTGGAGTACTGTGTCCAGTTTTGGGCCCCACACTACAAGAAGGAAAAATTGGAAAGAGTCCAGCGGAGGGCAACGAAAATGATTAGGGGGCTGGAGCACATGACTTATGCACAGAGGCTGAGGGAACTGGGATTATTTAGTCTGCAGAAGAGAAGAATGAGGGGGGATTTGATAGTTGCTTTCAACTACCTGAAAGGGGGTTCCAAAGAGGATGGATCTAGACTGTTCTCAGTGGTAGCAGATGACAGAACAAGGAGTAATGGTCTCAAGTTGCAGTGGGGGAGGTTTAGGTTGGATATTAGGAAAAACTTTTTCACTCGGAGGGTGGTGAAGCATTGGAATGGGTTACCTAGGGAGGTGGCGGAATCTCCTTCCTTAGAGGTTTTTAAGGTCAGGCTTGACGAAGCCCTGGCTGGGATGATTTAGTTGGGGATTGATCCTGCTTTGAGCAGGGGGTTGGACTAGATGATCTCCTGAGGTTCCTTCCAAACCTGATATTCTATGATTCACATTAGTAATGGGTTAAAAAAACATGGGCCAGCTCCTTAACTGGTATAAACTGGAATAACTCCACTGAAGTCATAGTCTTCCCACAGTTCAAATAAAGTCAATGGAGTTACACTGATTTACAACAGCCGTGGATCTGGCCTTATACATTTAGATCTTGGAAGAAAGAACAGTAATCACTAGATTTGAACACTGTAAAGGAAATTCTGACTTTATCAAATGTCTCTATGTTCTTTTTTCACCAGTGCAAGGAGTTAAACACATGTTGTTTCTACAGAAGATGGTTATGTTCTGTTTTCTGCACAACCACATCCCTCGCCTGAGCTCAGAATACTGCTTTTGCAGGCAGTTCAGTGCCAAACAGGGCCAGAATTAATCCAATTCTCATCACAAGGAAATCCTATATTACCTTTGTTTGTTCTTGTAAAATAAGGTCATTAAGTTATCCCCAGTGGCTGGTTCATCTGGTTCTATTAATTTGTTTTTTCCCCATTTCTGGGGCTCAATCCCCTTTCTAGACTCGTTTTAGACAACAGTCCATCTA